GTTATGGATAACATTACAAATAATGGGAATTCCAGAACACTTCATTGTGCTCATATGGAATCTGTACATAAACTGAGGCAGTCACTGGAACAGAACAAGGGTATAAATCAGAAAAGGTGTTTGGCAGAGTTGTACAACCTTATTCAATCTGTATGCTGAGCAAATAATCAGAGAAGCTGGAGTATATAAAGAGAAACACAGCATCAGGATTGCAGGAAGACTAACAACCTGCGATACGCAGACACCACCTTGCTTCCTGAAAGTGAAGAGGACTTGAAGCACTTACTGATGAAGATCAAAGACTACAGCTTTCAGTATGGACTGCATCTCAACATACAGGGGAAAAAAAAAAAAACCTCACATTTGGACCAATAAACAACATCATGATAAACGGCAAAGAAGTTTAGGTTGTCAAAGATTTCATTCTACTTGGATCGACAATTAATGCCCACAGAAGCAGCAGTCAAGAAATCAAACGACATATTGCATTGGGAAAATCTGCTGCTAAAGACCTCTTTAAAAGTGTTAAAAAGCAAAGATGTCACTTTAATGACTAAGGCACACCTGACCCAAGCCATGGTCTTCTGAATCGTCTCATATGCATGTGAGAGCTGGACAATGAAGAAAGACTGGAGAATTGACTTGAATTGTAGTGCTGGAGAAGAATACTGAATGTACTATGGACTGCGGAAGAACACATCAATTTTGGAGAAAGTACAGCCAGAATGCTTCTTAGAAGCAAGGACAGCAAGAATTCACCGTACTTACTTTGGACACATCATTAGGAAAGATCAATCACCAGAAAAGGACATCATGTTTGATCAAGTGGAGGGTCAGCAAAAACGAAGGAAACCTACCATGAGTTGGACTGACATGGTGGCTGCAACAATGGGCTTAAACACAGGAACGATCATGGGCGTCATGCATGACCAGGCAATGTTTTATTATGTTATACATAAGGTCGTCATGAGTTGCAGCCCACTCGATGGCCAACTAACAGCAACAACAAATGGGCCAGTAGAATAGCAGAAGGAACTAAGTTCTTATGTATACACAGGAATTAAATATGACAGAAATGAACAAATGGGCCAGTAGAATAGCAGAAGGAACTAAGTTCTTATGTATACACAGGAATTAAATATGACAGAAATGGCATTTCACAACAGTAGTAAAAACAAGACTGTGTCACTGATTAATCATTAATCAATAAATGGTGAGGGGACATTTTACTATCACTTCGAAAAGATCAGTTTCATACCACAAACAAAAATTAGTTTCACACCATAAACAAAAATTCCAAATGGATAAAATTATTTCATGAGGGAAAAACTCAGAATAGCAGAATATATGCATAGGTATGAACTGAGAAGGCCATCTTAAGTATATCCAGAAATCCTAGAATCTATAAAGGCAAAGATAGATTTTACTACATAAAGTTGGAACCAAATAGAAAAATGGTCCAAAGAATATAAATAGGGAATTTGCAGGAGAAATAAAACAAACGAAGGACAATTTGAGTGAACAAAAAAATACTTTTCACCCTATCAGATACACAAAAATTAAAAAGACCACTGACATACAGTGGGGGCAAAGTTGTGTTTGGAGGGCTTGAAGTACACTATCAAAACTTAAACATTCATTCCCTTTGCCTAAGCTATTCTGAGAATCAATCTTACAGATGTACTTGCACAACTACGCAAACCTGCATCAACAGGATGTTCTCTGTAGCAATGCCTATAATGCCAGGCAGCTGACACTATCAGAAGACTTAAATAAATTATACAACATTTATACTATGAATACGATGCATTCATTTTTAAAATGAGACAGATTTCTTCATTGTCCAGCTCTCACATGCATATACTGACATAAGATTGCAAAAGAAAAAGACCTGTCCTCTCTCTGACATGCTTTCCAATCCTGATTTACAGAATTTGAGGCTTTAACTTCTTTAAAGAGTCAGCAAATTGTGATTTCTATGGAGGACAGCAATTTAAAACAGATCAACATGCCTACCAGAGACTTCATAAACAATATGTATACCTTTAAGAAAACATAATTTCTCAAATGTCTACTTTTAAAATGAAAACAGTTTAAAAAGCATGCTTCCTTATACCAAATGTATCATGAAAAAGTATTCAAAATTGAGCACGAAAGACTGGAGATTATCTTATTGAATATGTAAGCATTTTTGACCTCTATATTGCTCTTTCTCCAAAAATATCAAAATCAAAATGTCATTTTAATTCCCCCTATCCATGTATGCCTTCTAAGATAGTAAGTCAGGTGAATAATAGTTTATGCAGTACTTTCAACTTCTGAATCATGAAATACAATTCCTATAGCAATCTGTGAAACTGATTTTATGAACAGAAATTGAATTTACTAATAGCCTATTTTAGCAGTTATTTCCTCAGTAACCGAATAAAGTTGGTCACTAGTTTCAAAAACAATGACTAATAATTTCCAAAAATTGTCCAAAACACTTTGTTTTCATTCACTGCAAATGCTTCAATAGTAGCCTCCTTAAGAAGTATGAAATATCCAATTCCTGAACTGACACTCTAAATTTATGGCTGTTTTCAAAAAACAAGAGCAACTCATGATACATCAATACCTGGTCAATCATGGTTAATGTTCAAAGATGCATGATAACTGAAAATTATTTGATATCACAGATGATGTGCAAAGTATAAATCTTGATCTCTCAGCCTCCACTTCAAAGTGATACCACCTAAATGGTATGAAAAATATCTAAAGAGCTCAATTAATTTTCACATCTTCTAACAAAGGAGTCACTTAGTTCTAAATGACAATTTACAAAGAGTTCTATGGAATAACTTTCAAGTTTATGTAGAAATCAAAATATTTCTTTACTTGTAAAAAATGATTAACATTATTAGATGGTTTCTTTAAAACATGATAAAATACAGTCATGCTGAACAACAACAAAATTCCTAGACTGCTTTAAGACAGTGATTACCTCTAAGGAGGAAGGGGGCAGAAAGGGTTGGACAGAGAGGGTTTAGCTTTTACTGTAATCTTACATTACTTTAAGTAAAAATTGGCCGCAAATATGCCTTTTTGATGCAGTGCACTGACCTGACTCTGGAAGCAGATTCCCTGGGTTCTAAACAATTCACTAGCTCTTTGTGACTGTGGGCAAGTTATTTAATCTCTCCACGCCTCAGTTTCCTTATCTGTAAAACAGGTTAATAATACTTCCTGCAGTATAGGATTGGTATTAAGATTAAATGAGTTATTTATATGTGAAGTGCTTCAAATAGTACCTGACACATCGTAAAAGCTATCACTATTATCATCAGTCTCACCATCTAAGACCATCACCACTATGAAATCTAGCTGTAAGGTACTAGAGAAAGAGGGAGGTGAGGGTGGTGGTGGTGGTAATCTGTCCTATTTTCTACACTTATATTTTAAACATAAATTCTATATTTGTATCCAGTGATAAATGACCAATGTCACAAGTAAGAAAGCAGTATAGAGAAATAAAGTTTCAGTCTTCTCTTCAATTTTCAAAAACATGAGACAATACAAGCTTTGGAGTTTGATATTTATTTTTAGCAGGAAGAATATGCTAATGGATGATGACATCGTTAGAAGATACGCCCATGTCCAATACCTGCAACAGAAGCTAGACAGAAGTTAAAGAACCATATCAAAAGACTAAAGACAAAAATTGTATACGACATTACTTACCCTTAATTCTGTTAACAATAAAACAAGTAACAATATTAAGACTGAACTTCCAACACAAGATCAAAAACTGGCAAGTTAACAATCAAATTTGTCTTATAAACAAAAATTCCATCTTTCCTGTCACTTTCTTTTCTTCATAGAAGTGGGCAACCTCTCCAAAGGATAGCATGGTGCCAACAACTACTCTCTGAGGGCCAATCTTATATATGAGCAGAGGAGCAGCAGGTTGAGAAGGGGAAGTATTAAATGAATAGCTGAAAATTTGGGGTGGTAGAGCTGATAGTCAAGTAGTACTCAACTAACTGTTCTCATTGGTAGCAATGGCAATCCAATCTAAACACCGTTTGCACAATTAGGGATTGCTGAACCAAGAACTAATCACTAATGAGTAAAACCATCTTAATAGAGGCAGTATCATGGCATACCTACAAATTTACAGTGAACTGTCTCTAAATAAAGGAATCCAGACAAATTAGAAATTCTCCTATATTGAGTAAGAATTTGCTACAGCAGTGAACAATTTAAACAAGAACTAGTCAACTGAAAGATTCTTTTAAATAGGCTCAAATATGGCTCAACCCTCCCTGACAATGGCTACTCTGTTCAAAGGAAATACGAATCTTTCGTTCTTTTTTTTTTTGCCTCCTGCATTCCTAAGTTTCTCATCAACAGTATCACTACCCAAATTAGAAAGAAGCAATGACTCTCCACCCAAGGGCATGTGTGAACCAAGTGAGAGTGGTTAAGCACTAGAATCTGGGCTGGAACAAGACAGTAATTTGAAGACTATTCTCCTAAGAAAATCAATGAATTGTTAAGGTGGAAGGGAGACTGGGGACTAAATTCAATGCCGAGAAAAAGTCTTCGTATTTTTAGTTGTATACCTAAAAGACTGTATGTACTTAGGACAGGAATTAATAAATCCACCCATAATTTACTACAGTTAACATTAGACATTATACCAACTGCTATTTTCCCATTATTTTATTCTTGAAGATAAGGGTTTAAAGTGATAAATTATTATTGCATGGAATTTCATATGAACAATTTAAAAATGTAACTAATTCTGCTAATTTCCAAATTTCTAAGTTTAGTTAGGAAGGTTGATTTGGTTCAGACAGAAGGAAAACTATTAATGCAAGAAGCAGCTTACCTGGGCCACTGTCTAAAAGGGTCTATGTACAAAACATGTAAAATGTGTAGTGCATTAAGATATCTTAAAATTCTTACTAAAAAGTAAATTAAATAAATAAGCACTAAAGAAGGAAAAGGTTACGCACTTCCAATTTATGCTCTTTCTCTGCAAGGGCTTCCTTTTGACAACGAAGAAAATCTGATAACATTCGAGTGAGCTGCTTCCTATCATCTATTTCTGCAGCCAATCTGCCATTGTAATCTGCCAGCAACATACAAGCATCCTCTACCATTTTAGAAAGCCTTTCTCCAGATTCTTTATCTAAAAAAAGCACAAAATAAAATTGTTATACAACAAAAACAATGCCATATGCTAGTCCCTCATCCCCACTCCCAAAAGAGTTCTGATCACATTTTCTTTTCTTACCTGTTATTTTATCTAGTAGGGATACTTCTTGGACTTCAACAGGCAGAGAAGCTATCCTCTGATGAACTGCTGCATCACCTGAAGCTGCATTTTCTAGATCTTGTAACGCTCTAACGAGATCTAGAGTCTAAAAATTTACACAACTTTAGAACCAAAATAAACACAACACATTAAACAACTACAAAAAACTTGAAAATCTGTTCATATTCTTTAACCCTTATGGACTATGTACTAGCTGAAAGTTTCAAATATAAACTCTTATAGAAAACAGCCCATTTCTTTTATGTATTAAGAAAAAGAAGCTACACTATGCTAGGTGTTGGAAATATATATGAATCAGGTCCCTAGGCCTTGAGGCCTTCACTGGACCTCCTCAGGTCCTCCAGTAGCTAACCAATCCTTATAGTGAAAATTCAAGTTCTTGTCCATGGTGACCAAGTGGGCTTCAGCATTCAGTTATTGATCCAACAGGTAGCTTGCCTCAGGTCTTGGCTGAGAGTCTTGGTCTGATTCTTTCTGCCTCCCTAGTACTTAGACTGATACAAAGCCACAGTTCTATGCAGTAAGTGGTTGTATCTTTCCTTCAAGTTCCTTTCATGAGGGAGATAGCTTCACCTCACCTTTGGCTTCAAACAATGAGTTTGGGTCCAGTCCTCCAAATCCCACAGAGCACTTTGAGTTCTTGTTATCCTACAGGATACTAACTTCTGGCAACCCATGTCTGCTTCTGGACCAGAGCTCAGCAGAAACCAGGCTTTGGCCCAGCATAACGAGTTGTGTGTGCTTCTGTACAATTTCTAGCCCAGGTAGCTATTCATCTTGTTTTAGAGTATAGTTATGCCTTCATTTTCTCCTTTTAAATTGTATGTCTCGCCTATATGTTTGAAACAGAGAAGAAGGAGCCTTAAAGACTCAATGCTCACTTAATGAAAAGTTCAAATGTCTTTCTGGAATTCATCTAATGGTTAAGGCATGCTATACTGTATCAACCTAGGAGGCTATGGAAGATTAAGATAATGATTCTAATCCATCTTGTTTTTCCATAGAACTGCATGGTTCTATATAGTTCCACAGAACTATATGAATATATACTTGTCATTCTAATACTCATTTTTTTTTTTCATATTTAAAAGCAAAAATACTTAAAGGGACAGTATCTCTAAGCATGAAATATTTAATGCACTTAAATCATACAATAAAATAAAACCCACTGCCTTCGAGTAGATTTCAACTCATGGCGACCCTACAGGACAGAGAACTGCCCCATAGGATTTTCAAGGCTGAAAAATCGTTACAGAAGCAGACTGCCACATCTGCCTCCCATGGAACAAATGGTGGGTTCAAACTGCTGACCTTTTGGTTAGCAACCAAGAGCTTTAACCACTGTGCAACCAGGGCTCCTCTATAATAAAATAGTTTTATTAGAATAAATAATGTCTTATTTATTTAAAAGGAAATTTTAAATAGTGGCTATTTCACCAGACTTAATCATACTCAGCAATTAAATATCCTCTTTCTATGTAAAATATGATTGTCTAATATATACAACATTAAACATAATCCATTTGTTAACCAGAAAACATATTCATGTAGCTTCCTTCTTACACCCAAAATTATAGTAAAAATCAATTTACAAAAATAAAACATCAAAGTTAATAAAGCTCAGAGGCCACATGAAGTTAAAATAACATAATTCTCTTAACAAAGAAAAACTTCTACCTGTGGTGGTTCACTTGGAGATCCTAGGGAGGAACAGTTTTCATTTTCATCCACCTTTATCTGTTCATAAGTTCGCTTCCTAGGTTTCTTATCGCCATCTACAATGAAAGATCATTTAAGTTTTAATGAAAGATCATTTAAGTTTTAATGAAAGAATACATTTTATTGAAAAGATCATGATAAAAAAATTATATACTTACACAGAGCTTGCTTAAGTTGTTCTAACACATCATTTTCATAAACGGACCTTTCTTCCCAAATAGATAAAACTCTTCCAAGGTGCTTCTTACAACTTTCATCAGTTTCACTAAAGAAAAAATAAAAATATTAATTGTAAAAAAATACATTGTGCTACTGAAAATGTAAGGATGATTTTTAAATACAATCATTCATTCACTCTCTGAAAAAACCTTTCCAAATGTTTATTGAGTACCACTATGTGGCCAGCAGTACAGGGTGAGGTGATCAAGACAGACATACTCCTGGCTTTCTTAAAAGAGCTTATTATTAAACAAAAAATTACAATAGCCACAAAAGTGGTAGTATCAGCTACTTGGGGTTTACAAAAGAAGAGGCATCTAACTTAATGGGGACTGAATGTGAGGCAAGGGAGGCGTTCTAATAGGTAACTTCTTAATTCATTCAACAAGTATTTATTGATCAAGGCACTATCCTTGACACTGGGGATACAAATAGAGGTTTACGGCAACTGTTATTTATAAATGCTACAAAAGAGAACAGGTGTTAAAGAAGGGCATAACAGAGGTCTAGCTCTGTTAAAAAGAGATCAGCAAGTTTACTTGAGGAAATAATACTTAATCTGAGTTCTGAAGATTGGATATACGGAGAATTGGGAAACATGAATTACCCTCAATCACTTCCAACCACCTTCCTTAACACCACCATAGACTGAGCCACTATTATCTCTTGCCTGGATTACTGCAACAGTCTTCTCACTGCTCTCCCAGCCTCTACTTTTATTTGATTCTCTACAAAGCATCCTAGTAATGTAAATCAGATCTTGCTCCTCTCAATCATCATACCAAGAATAAACTCCAAAATCCATACCCTAGGCCAGAAGGCCCACGTAACTCTGCTTTCTGGCTACCTTTCAATCCACATTCCCTAATATCTTCTCCAATATAAATCTCCTTGCTGATCCTCAAACACCCCAGCACATAACTATCTCATTGTCTCTGCAAGTATCTCCTCCACCTAGAATACTTTCCCCCTAGATACTCAAATGGCTCATTTCATCCCTTCCTTTAATCTCTGTTCAAATGCCATCTTCCTGAAGTAGTCATTCTTTACCACATTATATAACTGAGCATCCTCATACCCTCCAGTTACTTCCCTGCTTTAAATTTCTTCATAGCACTTGCCAGCTGACATTATAATTCACTTGACTATCTAGTTATTTATTACCTTTGCTCTTCACTGAAATGTAAGCTCCATAAGAACAGAACTTTGTCTTGTTCAGTACTGTATCCTCAGGGCTTAGGACACAGTAGGCGCTGAATAAATATTTATTGAATTCTAGGGAGAGGTAACATATATAAAAGCCTTAAGACAGGAAGAACTAACAGGGGTTCAGTTAACTTAAACTGTACACTATGGACTGTGTATGTAAGAAATGTGAGACACGAGTCTGCAAAGGTAGGCAGGGCCATGAAGGAACATTTAAGTCTTGCTCAGGACTTTCGACTTGACTTCTAGGGCAATGAGAGCCACTCAAAGGTATTATGGTCAGCTCTTCAACTCTTGACTACCATTTTCTAAATGGATTAAATAACACTGGATGCAGAAAGCCCAGTTGGAGGCTACTACAATTATACAGAAAGGACATTATGGTAACTGGTATAGAAAGAAATCCAAGGCACCAAGGGAACATGTACCATATGGGATAAGGAGTGAAAGAGAAGAGTAAGGGGGATGACATCTAATTTCTTGCCTGGGCATCGAGATACAGAAGTGTGGCCATTCACAGAGAACAAAACCTAGAGGAACAGCAAGTATGACAGGGAGAAAGGACATAATGATTTCAGTATCAGATTGAGTTTGAGCTGTCTGGGGAGCATTCAAATAGAAATAGCAATAGGCGATTAGATATACAAATCTGAAGCAGCACAGAAAAGACATCTAGACTGGAGCGTAAAATGGTCGGTCATTAGGGTGTAGAGAATAACTAAATACATGCAGTGTTCAAAATCACCAAGTGGTCCCACCACTGACTGTTCTGACCAGGATCACAACAGAGGGTTCTGGACAGAGCTGGAGAAGGATGTACTGCATAATTCTAACTCACAAAAAAAAGACCAGATTTACTGGCCTAAAGGAGACTGGAGAAACCTCGAGAGTATGGCCCCCAGACACCCTTTTAGCTCAGTGGTGAAGTTACCTCCAAGGGTCACGGTTCAGCCTGGGAGTGGACAGCCCCGTAAAACAAAATGAGACTAACGAGGTACAGGAGTCCAGTGACAAGGGCCAGAAGGCAGAAGGGGACAAGGAAGCTGGTGATAGGGAACCCAAGGTTGAGTAAGGATATTGTTGATGTGTTGTGAGATTGTTAACCATTGTCATAGGGCAACATTTGTAGTAACTGTTAAACGAGAAACTATTTTGTTCTGTAAGCCTTCTGTAAGCACAACTGGAAAAGCGTAGTCAATGTCACTGAACTGTACATGTAGAAATTTTTGAAATGGTGTATCTCTGGCTATGTGTATTTTCACCAAAAAAAAAAAAAGGTTGAGAAGTTAGAGGGTTGATATGTTGTGGGGTTGTTAACCAATGTCATAAAACAACATGTGTACTACTGTTTCATGATAAACTATTTGTTCTGTAAGCCTTCACCTGAAGTACAATTAAAAAAAAAAAAAAAAAACACCAAGTGGGTAAGTAAAGAACAAGACCAGAAAAGGGCCTAGGATGAAACTCTAAAGAAACATCAAATTCTGAAAAGATGGCAAAAGACAATATCTACACTGAAGGATAAATAATGCTTACTTAAGAGAATAACATACACCAATACTTCACACTCTAATTTTTCTTAAAAAACATCTCCTGTGACTAAAACTTCAGGGCATATAGTGAGTAAATTTTCATTCTTATATCATTCAACACATATCATCATCATTTACTATTGAATTCTATAATTTAGATTGATTTAATAGTCTACCTCATTTTAGTATTTATTCAGTCATCTACCAAATATTTGCATATAACTTTTGGAAATAAGCATTTTAAAAGGATATAAGTCAAAGTATAGAGGCTTCTAATACTCAGAATTTTCTGTAGCAAAAAATTTTAACAGGTTTATGATTATTTTAAATAAATATATACTTCCAAAATATTTTAAAATGTTATGTCAAATACCCACAAACCGAAAAATCTTAAATCATTAAAAGCAATATGAGGAAAGTGGTATTAAGTTTATCCAGAGATACTGGTTGGAAGACTGACAGCTTTTAAGTATGCAAATTTTCAATGCAATGCCTTCATTCATTTTTAATGAAGTTCATTCTGATAAGGCAAGTACCTTTTTTCTCTTAAAGGAAAGCTGTAATTCAAGTACTCCAAACGCCCAGATTATCAACAGTTCAATTTTTTTTTTCTTCACAGAAAGCACTGAACACATTTACAAATGCAATTTATATGTAGGTCTTTTCAAATGAAAGCCTCAGAGAAATACATTCTGTTTTTTACCTTAATGGCTTAAAGCAAATGTTAGCAAAAGGACATATTGTGCATTTAAAACAGATTACCTAGTACCCAAAACAATTATCATACCTTGACACATGCTTAAAAGCCTCCACTATAACTGGTGCAAAATCTTTTGTAAACTCCGGCCCTTTCCTTTTGCTGTTCTGAATGACATCATTGGCTAGGTAGAGAAAAGTAAGCTTCCTGTTTGGTTTGGCTGAAAAACAAAAAAATTAAAAATCTACTTAAAATATCCTCACTTAACTTGGACAAACTTTCTCAATACCTGAATTATGCAGTTTGAGAATGATAACTACTAACTTTATATATCATGTTCAATTCTAGCTACCCATTTTACTACCAAACTTATCAAGCTGCTGCTCCTACACTCACCAGGATGACTACTCTCTGATTTCTGCAGACTGATCATGTGAGGAAAAAAAAGAGCCAAAGAAGGAAGAGTAGGTCAGCAACAGATCTTTCTGTCTCCTTGGCAGTTTCACTAAGTCACCCAAACTATGTAACATCCTTGATTCCTAGTTTTATCACCATTCCCAAACTAATAGTTTTATATACTGAAAGCCACGTTTGGGTACACATATAGCTCTGTGACTCTACATATACTAAAATTTTATTAAAATCATTACAAATTATATGAAATATAGTCACTTAAAATAAGATGGTGACGGGTCATGCTGTTAAGATGGTACCCTAAAGCCCAGACTGAATTTAGAATTTGTTTTCACGCTCACGTTGATTCAAAATCAATTATTAAGTTATTGTGAAACAACGAAAGAGTACAAAAGAGAATCCCCTTGGAATTACATTTTTTTGGGGGAAAAAAACATAAACATTGCCCATTTGGTGTCCCTAACATTTACACTCTTAGCATGGCAAATATTTATTGCATAAACGATAACATTTTTAAAATGTTAAATTCGTGGATTGCTACTAATCTCAAAAATAATTCTGAATCACTTCTAAAACAAAAATTGTTTTTGTAAAAATTTGTAAGATTTTGAAATATGTTTCTTAATATATTCCAAAGGACAAACCCTGTACCAGGAAGGGGTCCAAATACTAAGATATTATTTTCCTTTTCTTTTTTGTGGAACCCAGGCTGAAATGTGAGAAATAACTAGAAATCATGATGATTTCTTCTTCATTTATCATAATGTTTCTCAAATTATCAGGGAAAAAAAAATTTACTTCCATTTAAAACTACGTAAACCTTTACACAGAGCAAATAATAAATTACTGGAACTAATCTCAATAGAATGAGCCCTGATGGTGCAGTGGTTAAAGCACTTGGCTGCTAACCAAAAGGTCTGCGGTTCAAACCCACCCACTGTTCTGCTGGAGAAAGATGTGGCAGTCTGCATCCTTAAAGATTACATCCTTGGCAACCCTATGGGGCAGTTCTACTTTGTCCTGTAGGGTCACTATGAGTCGGAATCAACTTGATGACAATGAGTTAATCACAATAGGCAACACCAGAAGAAAATCACAAAAGTGATTTTAAATGAATTTTGATAATTTTTAGAATGACAAAGCCACAAAGTGTTATTGAAAGAAGTATACAAATTTAACAGAGATGGCAAACAAACCATTTCATCATTCCTTAAAGAAATACATCTATTGGCAACAGACTATAGGGCTAAGCAATGGCTCTGACCTAGTCAATTCTCATGTTTCTGTTCTTCATGAGGTCCCTTCCTAAGACACCTACTTTCCAAACCTTCCATTAAATTTGTTATTGTTGTAAGTTGCTGTAAAGTTGGTTCTGACTCATGGTGACGTTATGTGTTAACAGAATGAAACATTCCTGGTCCTGCACCATCTTCACGATTGCTGATGTTTGAGTTCATTGTTTTGGCTATTGTGTCAATCCATCTCACTGAGGGTTTCTCTTGTTTTTGCTGATCCCCTATATTACCCAACATAATTTCTTTCATGATGATGTTCCAAGTAAATGAGTCGAAGTCTCACCATCCTCATTTCTAATGAGCATTCTGCCTGTATTTCTTCTAAGACTGATTTGTTCATTCTTCTTGCAGTCCATGGTTTATTCAATATTCTTTGCTAACACCACAATTTGAATGCATCAATTCTTTTTCTGTCTTCCTTTTTCACTGTCCAACTTTTGCTTGCAATAAGGTGATTAAAAGACCACAGCTTAGGTAAGGCACATCTTAGTCATCAAAGTGACATCTTTACTTTTTCTTCATTCATCATGATGTTTATTGGTTCCATTGTTGAGGATTTTCTATTCAATTTAAAAAACATTTATTTAATGTTTGTTATGTGCTAGGATCACTACTTGTCTGTCAGTTTCTTGTACTGTGAAGGCTCGCGTGTTACTGTAATGCTAGAAGCTATGCCACTGGTATTTAGAATATCAGCAGGGTCACCCATGGTGGACAGGATTTATCAGAGCTTATTGACTAAGACAGTTTAGAAAGAAAGGCCTGGTGATCTACTTCCGAAAATTAGCCAGTGAAACCCCTATGGATCACAACATCGTCTTACTTGCTTGCTTTGGACACATCATCAGGAGGGATCAATCACAGGAGAAGGACATCATGTTTGGTGAAGGAGAGGGCCAGCAAAGGCGAGGGAGATCCTCAGTGAAATGGACTGGCACAATATCCACAACTATGGACTAGAACATACCAGCAATCATAAGGATGATACAGGACCGGGTAACATTTTGATATGTTGTACATAAGGTTACCATGAGCCAGAATCAACTCATCAGCAGCTACCTATCTATCTGCCAGTGACCATGCTGGGCACAGACCAAAAATAATCTTTCCTATTTAATCAAGAGTTTGCAAGCTCCACGCAAACTGACATGATAGGCCACATCACCAAAAACATTAGTTCTCTTTTTTTCCAAAGAATCCATTAAGTAAAAATTTGTATGTCTGTTATGTGTGCATATTGCTATATTTATACTAATAAGCATAAGCCAAACAAGCACCACTCAACACTTAAAATTATGAGGCACCATTTTCTTACACCTCATCTCCCTGAACTAAATTTAAGCTCCTTCTGGGTAGTAACTATAGCCCCTTGTTGTGGGACCCTGCATATAAACGGGTACGTACGTACGTACACACACACACACACACACACACACACACACACACAATATGGCTGGCTAATATATGAGAATACAGTATTACTAAAAAAGGCACAGTAATAAAGTTCAGTTCATTACACAAGTAAGAAACAATTACACAATCTCACAAACAGTTCAATTACCAGGCTTCAAAAGGAAATCAGAGTCTGGATTATTGGACAAATAATATGAAACAAACAGCCAGTGAAAGGATTAAAGAAATGCCACCTAGTTTCACTTGCTTATAATCAGAAGATGGTAGGCGTACTACTTATTTTCTTACAGTGTACAAACCACATGCCTACTCGTTTTGGTAAGATACAAAATATCATAATCTAAATTAATCACCCATGCTTCTATAAAGCACTGAAATTTAAAATTACAGTGGACAACAATGCTAATACAACAAATAGCTAAAACACTGTGCTATCTATAAACATAAAAACCTTTTCTCCAAGGGAGCCTTCTGCATGGAAAGAAGCAGCAAAAAATTGAATACACAAATATATATATACACACACTCATGCATACACACACACACCAATGCCGGGAATGAACATTACCTCAGGTATTACAGCAGGAAATCAGGAGAAAAGCCGCTATCTTGAAACAAAAATCTATTCAAGATTTATTAACAACTGTTGGTCAATCATTTATTTCCTTTGTAAACTGAATCACTACACACTAGAATGAGGTGCTACAGACCCTGCTTTTGCAGTAAGTGCATATTAAGCCCTCAAATTTTAAGTGTAATTTAATTATGTTCTCTCAAGTTTAATTTAATTGGGTGGAAATATAAGTGCAGTTAACCAAAGGATAATTACAAATGACTGTTAAGATCTGATGCCATTCATTCACTCAACAGAAAATTATTTATCATCTACTATGCTCACAGACACTGCATTAGGAATAAAACAAGACTCTCAGTCAAATTCATAAAAGTCTTTTTAAGCCATAAGTGTAAATATGTAATGAAACATTGGTGAAAAGAACATTCCAGGTAGAACCCCAGTGCGTGAGCTAATGAGTGCAATGTTGATAATGTATGAGCAAGTAATGGAGAGGAGGGAGGACCTTAAATATCAGGCTAACACAAGTTTAAGCTTCATTCTGTAAGTAAAAAGAGAAGTACTGAGGTTTTAGAGGCAGGGGAAGGACACCTTCAGCTGAATTAAGAATGCTGGAAAGACTGAGTAGTTAAGAATATTTCAATCAGAAACAAAGCATTCAGAACTAAAGTTGTGTTAAGGGGAACTTTATCTTTAATTTCCCACATTTAATCACCTCTAACAATTGGAGCCCTGGTGGTGTAGTGGTTAAGAGTTCGGCTGCTAACTTGAAGGCCAACAGTTCTAATCCACCAGCCACTCCTTGGAAACCCTATAGGGCAGTTTTAGTCTGTCCTGTAGAGTCGCTATGAGTCGAAATCGACTCATCGGCAACAGGTTTTGGAGGTTTTTTTGGAAGAATTCCTTAGCTTTTTAGGGAGGTGGCATTTACGTAAGAGAGAAGAAGTTTTTGTATTCACTTTATAGTAAATTCCTGTTTGACAAATTGGAATTTCTCATTTGTTGCACTCTAACAGGAAGCAAATAACAAAAAAATAATTTACTGTACCTTCTATAGTTATATAGCTCTTTTCAGTACTTGTTATTCTTGTTATTCAGAATGAACCTGAGACGCTGCTTGATTTCAAGTGGAAGAAAGACTTTCATGTTATAGCTTAATTAGAATACTGCTACAGAAGTGAGTGAAACTCAACTGAGAATTGAACAAAGGTTTTCTACATAATCCTCAACATACTAGAACAGTTCATTAAAAAGACCCTGGTCCAAGCTTTCTGGGTAATCTCCAGGTTTTCCCAAATATCACCTCTACCGCTTCCATTTTAAGAAATTTTTTTTTTTAATGTTAGTAATGTTAAATATTTTCCATAATAATCCCCAGTCATCACTCCTAAAAACAAGGAGTTAGCTGTATAGCATTTCCTCCAAAGAAAAACTCTGAATGTTTCTTTCACCTTCTAGAATCCATATCTCCAAATCCCTTGGTTTCCACATGCTTCCTGAAGTCCCACTACAGCAATCACCCCC